TAAGAGTATTTCTGATACAGTGTCACATTGGTGGGATGCCCGTTAATGTTTATTTATCCAGGTGTCTCATATATGGGACACCCGTCGTTATTGAGTTAAGAGTATTTACTGAAATTTATCAATTTTACATGAACACTTCAGGGTTCTTTATTATTATTATTATTTTTTTTATTATTGTTAGTTATAATTATAACTTATGAATAGTAATAGGGATAATATTATCAGTTAATGTTTGAACTATGCAGACTCTTGACTGAGATACAAGAGTCTGTCATATTCTGTGTCAATTAAAAGTATTACATTTGTATACTGGTAAGTGGGGAAAAAAATGGGGTTGTTATAGTATTCACAGTGGAAGTTGGTCACATGGTGATAAAGATATTTACCTCTGCCAAGGAGGTTTTATTTTTGGTAGCATTGGTTAGTTAGTTGGTTAGCAGGGTAACTCCAAAAAGTTATGAACAGAATTTTATGAAATTTCTATCAAAGGTGTGTCTTTGCCAACTTCGATGCCATTAAGTTTTGGTGGTGGTCCAGATCCAGGAATTTTTAAAAGGGTTCATTTGCATTGCGAGATGGGAAAACATGGATGTCACCAATGTACTTGAGAAAAGGTGGTTTTCATGTAATTCTTCAAGTTTGAATATTTTTGTAGCATCAGTGACCTTATTGCCTTGGTGGAGGTGTGTGCTCTGATTGCTTCTAGTTTTTTAAGATATACAGCTTGCTTTAGATTAAATTTTCCAGGGTTGAATGTTTTACTCATCATTATTTAAAATCTTACAGCATGTTAGCAGAGAAGTTGAATATGTCCCCCAAGGATGCTGAGCGCTGGATTGTTAATCTGATCCGTCAGGCCAAGCTGGATGCCAAGATAGATTCCCAGCAAGGCCACGTTGTGATGGGAACACAAGCAGTGTCCCCATACCAGCAGTTGATTGAAAAGACAAAGACCTTAAGCTTCCGTACTCAGATGTTGGCTATCAACGTTGAGAAGAAGGCTACTGCCAGATACAGTGAGGTAGGTCCTTTTTTCCCCACTAATATGTTTACATTCTGCAACTTTTATCATGAAATGATGTTGAGTGTGGAACAGATCAGATTCTTTTACTAAGAGAATTATATTAATTAATTTTTTATAATTTTATGATTCAATAATAGAGATATTAAACAAAAATTTCCTTCCTTAGGGACCGAGCTGGGCCATGGCAAGCTAGTCTGGTTGGAGGACTTTCCAAGGACTACCATACAAGAAGTGGTATCATAAAAAAAAAACAAAAAAATCTTCAATCTTGATCTACTACAGAAAAAGGGATATTTTGTATTACAAAAAATCTCATGAGTTTTAGAATAAAAGTGATTAACTTTAAAA